TAGGATAGGCTTGGCTTCGGGTGCTCCCTTATGTAGGTTGCATGCCCTGTCCTGACATGAATACGTCAAGAAGGGACCCCAACCCCCAGGACGGAGGTTGGGCCCCACTGTTGTATAAAGGGTAACATAGTAAATTATTCAGTGTATGTCATTATTATAGTGATGTGTTTTGTGTATATTATTCATATTTTAACATGCAATTTTCCTGGAACCTCCTGTTGGGGCTAAGAATGTAGGGGTTGGGGGGTATCCATAGCAAATGCATATATAAGGGTGGTGGAGAGTGAAAGGAATCCATTGAGGCCACTCTCATCATGATCGGTCTTGTGATGTATTCTTAACAATCACCATATTCTTTTATTAGAACATCAATATTACTGGGATGCATCATTACTGATACTTTCTTTATTATCCATGTAAAAATTCAAAGAAGTAGGCATCATTATAATGAGATGTATAATGCCACAAATAAGTAATCATAAGTATATATGATTTATTTTTTTTAATACTAAAATTTAAGATTGCTTAGGTCAGCTGTACTCTGAAATTTTTGTTCTCATAAACTACACTGGCAACAACAGTGTAGTTAAGACAAAATCCTCTAAGTGTATGCATTTGAAATTTTTGGTCAGTCAACAATATGTTTGGATTTGACAAAAATCCATAGCTATCTTTTTAAACATAGACTGTTTAACAAGCACTTAGTAAAGAAGGAATTGAATATTTGGTCTATTGTATGAAATATTTTAATATTTTTTTTCTGTGACAATCATTATTTTTGTTGACACATTTATTGAAAGTATCATAACTCTTTATTATCATGATAACAATTTATTGATACTAAAATTGTTAATGCTATTAAAATTTAAGTATTAAAGTAAATAGTTGACATCAGATATATAACATCCCCCTCTTGAGATCAGGCTGGCCATTCATATTTAAAAAGGAAAGAAAATAAGATTGATTAAGCATTAGCATATAGAACTAGATCCTGGCATAGCATCCACTGCTGGTGTAAGAAAATTGAGAAAAGAGATAAATGAGTAATAACAAGATCTTGCTTAATGTTTAGGCAAGGTACAGATTCAATGATTTGAATGTATGCCATGTATGTTCAAGATAGTCTGGAAGGCTTGTTGTCCAGTTGAAAAATGAAGGGATTTGAAAACTGACAATATAACTGAGCATAATTTCTGCAATGTTGGATTAGAATGTTAGTAATTGTACCATGGTGTTGATTTTTTTTTTTTTAATGGAAATATGTATACTATGTCTTTTTCAATATTGTTTATTAAATTATCATTTTTGTATTTATTATGTAGTCATTATTAGTTTTCAAAGGCAACTTTGTATTAGTATGCTTATGGAGGCAGTGTGGTCTTATAGTTTTCAGCAAAATAAGAACTTTAACGAAAATAAGATAATCATATTCAAGGCTTTTCACATACACTCACAAATAAAAAAATATTTTCTCTCTCAGCAGAAACCAGTGTTCAACCAAGAGGAGCTGCGAGTTCTGCGAGAATGCAACCTAGAATCATTTTACTACCGCTGTGTCCCTCTTGCAGCAGCTTTTACAAGTGCAACATACATAGCCATGCGAAGGGGTGAGGTAACAGTTTTGAATATATGTGGATACTTTTTTCTTCTCTCACTGATTTGTATGTGTGTGTGTGTGTCTCTGTCTGTCTGTCTCTTGGTCTGTGTGTGCATGCATACATACATACATACATACATACATGCATACTTACACATATACATAAATATATATACATGTTCAATAAATTACATACATGCATGCATATACATGTTCAATAAATTACATACATGCATGCATATACATGTTAAAAAAAGACACATACATTCATATGTATGTATGTTCAAGAGAAATCACAAAAGATATACCAGTTTTAGGACTGAAAAATATATTTCTAAATATTCCTTGTATATGAATTGAATATACAAAAAATCAATATTAGTATGCATTAATGTTTTGTATGTTATGTAGGAAATGTAAGCAAAGGGATATTTATGCATTATTATTATTACTGAAATAACATTGCATATATAGAGAATATATCATCAGTACAAAATGGTAGCACTTAATATTGTTGCACAACTGATGTCCTAAAGGAAATGTCTTTCTTCTCAGGTATATTTAAAGTGAGTGAGAAGTTTGGGTACACTCCAAAAATGTTAGGTGCTGCCTTCATAGGGTACTTTGCTGGAAAGCTGTCCTACCAGAATGCCTGTGCAGAGAAGTTGATGAAACTGCCCAACAGTCCTGTAGGAGAAGCACTTCGCAAGAGGAAAGGGCGGCTAGGATTTCAGGAGTCGTAAGTGTTCGTTTATTTCTTATGTGCTAAGATCTTAAACTGAGAAGAGGGAACCTCAGGCATTAAACTGGATTAGGTTTGTATGTTATTATAGGATTGATGACTTAATTTAATGTTATGTAATTTCTTCTTGATGAGTCTTCTAGTTAGTATGTAACAATTAAATACTGTTTTTGGGTCCTTGGAAAGATTATGAATATTATAAGGATACATTGGTATGAATGTCTCTATGTATGTATGCAGATAAAGATAGTGGGGGGATGGGAATATGACTCGTCGTATTCAGAAGGATATGGTCTGAAATTTCCCCTCCTCCACTTTTGACATTGAAAAGATTTCTCATGTTGTTATAATTAAGTATCTAAAGCACTGCCTCAAAGAAAAAAGAAGTGAAAAAAAAAATGCTGGAGTATTTGCCTATGATCAATTCAATTGTCAGCATAGACAGGTTCATTTGCATTATTGCAAATGAATATAAAACCTTTCCATAATTGACTTAGCTAACATTACATTAGCAAGTCTCAGTGCCATTGTCTCATTATCACTTTATTCTTGATATGGAAATAGATATTTATATTCCCCTCAATATCATTAGATGTGATTGTTTTCCATTAGCTCATTTAACCCATTGCTGCCAGGGAAAATGAATTGGAAAATTGGGAAAATGCTGTACTCATTTTTTATATTTTTGTGAAATGTCTCTGTACATAGATGGCTTTGCTAGTCCTGATTTCACCTTTCCTTGAATTGGTGGGAAAAAATGTATTCTTACTAGTGCTATAAATATAAATGGTGTTATTTTTAACAGCAAATTAGGATAACTTTAAATATTTTCGTAAATCGATGAAAAGGGTAAACAGGTGAGACAGACAGTACTCGTAATTGGCTCACTAGTGAGTTAGTACAAGTGTAGCCATCTATGTGTAAAAACAATCAAACAAGTCGACTCACAGTGACATGGCATGTACGTACATGCCATCCCCGTTGGCAAGGGGTTAATCTAGTGTATTTTATAGGGATATGGGCTTGGAAAGCTTTGGACACATTGACTCCCACCACATCAAAGATTCTTGCACCCCTGTGTGGATATGTGTGGATTTGTGTGCTTGCTTGGTAGTGTTGAGAGTGAATTATGATTATGCCT